TAATGCTGACCAGAATTATGCCAGCTGGCCTGAATTATGAAAATTGCACTGCGCAGTCTCAAAAAATGCCTGCGCAGCCTGTGCAGGCTGCACAGTGTCCCATCCCTACATGTGACTAGTGTGGAGTATTATTACTCGTGGCTGCTATAATTCCCTGCGTAACTTGATTCTTCTGAATCATGATCATAACTCCTCATTGGTAGAAGCGTTGGTAGGTACTATGGCTTGACCAGTTGCCTATTGCAAGTATCGTTGCGAGGTCTGCACCTGAATTCTGAGTGTAAAATGCTGCTACCGATCTTGCATCCTTGGCCTTTAGGTCTGGTGATGCTTCTTTTAAAATTTCCTTAATCCATCTTGCAATCGTATCTACTGAGGCAGAGAAATGGGTGTTCGTTGAAATTAGGAATAAGTGCTCTCTCTGTTCCTTCGTAATTCGCCAGGCATTAGTATGTTTAAGAAGTGTGTTAACAGCATTTAGTGGTGAGATTTCTGGTAGTTCTTCATAGTTCCCTATGTATACTCTTTTGATTTGTGATTTGTTGCTGCCATGAGCGATTGAAATTTTATGTTCCTTGGGGTTCTTAATATTAAACATCATGCTGTGCTCTGTTTGTACTTGAGAAGTAATATCAATTCTGGATAAATCTGAGAGGCGACAAGCCGTAGTGATTGCTAGGAGAAATGCGACCTTCTGTAACAGTAATAATATGTTCATCTTCTCATTATCGTCGAATGAACGAATTTTGTCAAAAGATGAGACAAGGTCGACCACGTCATCATTATATAAAGGAGGAGGGTTGGTGTTGTAAACTCCTTTCATTGCCTTGATTATTGTAGGGTGTGAACAAATTGGGAAATTATCAATCCAATCATGTATTTCACTAATTGCGGATCTGTATCCAGCAATTGTGTTGTATGCCTTTCCTGCCTTTACTTGGTTGTCAAAGAATTCGATTATGTAATTTATACTGCAAGTAATGGGATCAGTTTGCCTTTCACTACACCAATGTATCCATTTTTTAATATTTGAAGATATCGTCTTCGAAGCATCCTTGTCATATGCTGTGATGTAAAGTTCGATAGCCTTTTCTGAAAGGCCCTGGTTCTTGAGACGTGTCCTAATATACGTGCTGCGCATAGGTTCCACCTGTTCACTCGTTTGAACTGATCGTAGTTGTTGGTTTGTTCCACTGAGTTCCTGGGGAGAAGAATTGAGAAATCATCTAGAAGTGATAATAGTGTTGGAAACCAGGGAGCTGTTTGCCATAACAGGAATATTAGCATGATTGTCACCCTTTCTCTAATTACCTTGTGTAGTACTTTGGGTAGGAGGACCCATGATGGGTTTGCCAAAATATTCCAACCCTTCCATGGAACTCGAAGAGCATCTGTGGCTAAGGCCTTCGGGTCTGGTTTCCAGGAAATATAACTCGGAGTGAGGTGGTTCTGATAGTTGGCAAAAATATCGAGGTCTCTCAGGCTCCATATTTGTTGAATTCGATTAAATGTTCTCTTGGAGATCTTCCAATCATGCCTGTCTACCTGTTTCCGTGATGCCTGGTCTGCTAGTGTGTTGAGTCGTCCTGGAATATGTTCCGCTCTCAGATTCACCTGGCGTTTGATACATTCTAACCATATCGATTCTGCTAGATAACTCAATTGAGTTGAGGTGGTTCTATCCTGATTGTTGATATATGATACTGTCGTTCTGTTGTCACTTCGAATGAGGATGGTTTGGTTGTTTATATGCTTCCATTTGTCTAGCGCTTTCTTTACAGCTAGGAGTTCCAGATAATTGATATGTTTCTGTCTTGTTTTTCCTGTCTATGTTCCAAAGATCACTTGGTCGTTTAGAACTGCATCCCATCCCGATTTGGAGGAATCTGTATAGATCACTGTGGAGTGGTCGTCGAATGTGATTTTTCTTCCATTCCATTTTGTAAGGTTTTTTATCCAGCACTCTAATTGTTTCTTGCTCTCTGCTGATAGTGCTACCCTCGCATTCCAACCCTGGCATCTCAGAGCTCTGTTCTTGTCTCTGAGTAAAGCTCTTGAAAAGAGCTTTACTGGTAAAAGGGCTTCTGCTATAGCGTTCATCCTGCCTAATAAGGCTGCCAGCTTGCGAATGTGGACTGCTTTCGTAGCCTTCAGTTTCTTGCATTCTTGAATGATATCTTTGATTTTTTTCGTTGGAATCTTGAGAGACATGTTGGTTGAGTTCACCTTGAAGCCAAGAAATTCTATTGTTCGTATTGGTGTTAATTGTGATTTTTTACTGTTTATTATGAATCCAAGGTAATCTAGCATCCTACAAACTTTCTTGGCATGCTCTATAGCTTGCTTTTTTGACTCTGCCATTATTATGATGTCATCTAAGTAGATGATTAATCTGATCCCCTGAGCTCTCAGATGCTTTATTATCAGTTTTAGAATCTTGGTGAAGATCCTGGGACTTGTTGTGAGTCCAAAGGGTAAAGCCGTAAATGCATAATGTGAATTTAGAAAATCAAATGCGAAGAAGGACCTTGACGAATAAGCTAATGGGATGTGATAAAAAGCGTTCTTTATATCTATCTTTGTTATGTAATCCTTTGGTTTTAGTAGTGTCTTTACTAACTGGATTCCTTTCATCTTGAATCTTTGATGTAGTACAAATGAATTTAGAGATCGCAAGTCTATAACTGGCCTTAGATCTCCTGACTTCTTTGGTATAAGAAAAAGTCTTGATAAAAAACACAGTTCATCTAAAGAGATCTTGGTTATAACCCCTTGGGCCAATAGATTGTTGATTTCTAATTCTAATGCCGATCTTTCCTGATGTGAATATGTTTGGTTGGACAGTGTTTGGCATATTCTTGGTGGTACTGTTTGCCAAATTGGTTCGTATCCATTTTTTAATATATTTAGTATCCACGAGTCGCCAACTGTCCTGGCCCATTTTGAGTGAAAATAGCATAATCTTGTGCCTACTGTGTTCTTTATTGATGTGATTGAGGTTGGGACTCGTTCTGGTGAAAATTTGAAGATCGTTTCCAATTGAGTGTGTTATTAGACCATAAATTTTGCATATTACGATGATAGAACCTTTCTTTATTTGAATAATTTTGTTGAGATGAGCTTCTCTTATTTCCTGGATGAAGGTTTTGTGCTCGTCTATTCTGCCACAGAGCATCGTTGAAGAACTTAGTTTCTTCATTCTTTTCCTTAATAACATCCTTAAGTTTCTCTACAAAAAGAGGTTTCACTTCTGATTTTGTTTGGTGATTAGGAAAAAATGCATTTGATGACGTGTTCTTGTCTTTGATCATCTGTAAAAGATAATGAATCCAAAATAAGTGTTCTGGTGGAAAGCAGAGATAACTCCATATATTCCCATGTTTCCAGAGCCTGCTTGTTTTGCGCATCAGGTTTTGTTTGATACAGTGTGCGAATAGCATTGTCCAAAGGTCTGAGAGCAGAAGAGTAATGATAAGATATTTTTTGTAAGGTTTTATCCACTTCTTTTGCCTTCCTTGACATACGTTTGAGTAATTGCTTGTCCATAGGTGGGGGTGTAAATTTAATGTTTGCATTTCTGGGAAAGGTTTGTAAAAGGCGTTGACGCGTTTCGTTGGGAATTGCATTTTCTTTGTAAATTTTAGTGGGGAGTTTATCCATCTCTCCTGCTGGAAAAAAGGTAGTATCATTGATATTAGTAAAGTCGCGTTCTTCATCTGATACTTGTTGGGTATCATCTTGAATGATTATGTTATTAGTATTGGGATCATTATGAGCTATAAAGGCTTGTACAATTAGAAGTAACTTCTGAGGCTTTGAAGTTGCAGACAGCAAACCAAATAAAAACGGCCTAAGAAAGAGAGTTAGATTAGGTAGAGTAGGGTATTTATATAGCACAAAATTCTATGTAATAACGTAACAATCGCCACATGATTGGGCACAAACCAATAAAAATGAGGCCTAGTCACATGATCTGCAATTTACTTACGTAGCGATGTTCATTTAAATATTTACTGCCAACTTTTTGCTCTGCAGACTCATTAAAGAATGACAGCTTGAAAATGATAAACAAGTATATAATAGTACATCCCGTATATAGAAACAAGAAGTATGGAATATATAAATTATGTAAACGATGTAATTCTTCAGAGGCTTGGTGCAAATAATATGATTCAGATATGATAATGAAACACAAATATTGCAAGCTAAAATAACTATATAGATAATTGCATTAAAGAGTTTTAACTTATTACCGCCACATATTTGAAAGTAATAGAATGGACTTCATTTAAAGGATTGATAATAATTTTAATCTAGTTAGATGGAAAAGGCATAATTAATAATAATTATGATCACGTACATAATGCATTGTCAAACTTAAAACATTACTGGGTTCTAATACATAACTTTTCGGATTTTTAACAGAAGTAAGTTATCTACATTATAACAGTTATAGCGTGACAATAATACAATCAATTAAAGAATTTAAAAAGACAGATTAGATTATGAATTTACTCGAAGCTACATGCAGTCTCTCTTTTTATTAATAATTCTGACGTCGACGTTAGTTATTTGAAACGAGCTTTTTTTAAAGTTCCTATTAGTGTGTTTGCCAAAGCTATCAATAACGAAGATACTTAAAATTCCAGTAGTTATGACGAAAATTAATACAGTACTTTCCTTGAAAATTTAGTGGTTTGACCAGAACTATTAATATTAATTTTTGTAGTCAAATCAGTATTATTATGTTAGATTCCAGTGAATTAGGTCAAAAAATTAATAGTGAAATTGATTGGGTTTAAACCAATTATGGCTTGGTCAAAATGATTATAATAGAAAGCATCGACTAAACAAAATTTTATAATAAAAATTTAAAACTTTATTATTGGCCTTTATGCAACTATAGTTGGCGGTATAATTATTGAATTACAACACTAATCTAAAAAATTTCGATAGTCAATCATATTTCAGGTGTAACGTAAAAGAAGTGCAAAAAAATCAAACCAACAAAAAAACGCTTATAGCTTAAAATTTTGCCTATGAAAGTGCCTTCTGCGACTAACAAAATATTTTCCTCGGGAAATTTTACTATACTATAGCCCTTTAAACCAAATACTAACTTACTGGTAGGACTAGTGATGTGCGATACGAGTACAGTAACAAAATTTTTTAGACTGGCCATAAGCCATAGGTATCGGGTCATGTGATTTCCGACGCTCTGAATGATCACCCACCAATCAAAATCCAGGATCTGGTTTAACGTGAAATTTTACGAAAACAATGGCTCAAAAGATTGCTCATTAAATCATCTGTGCAAAATTTTTCCTAATCCTAAATATATGTTTTTTTTCCTTTTATTTATATGTTACTTTCAATTGTTTTGATTTTTAGACATCAGACCGGATGCTTCGGAAGTCATATGACCTGACACTTCATTTTATCTTATCCAGTATCGCCGTCAAAATTATCACTTTCACGTGACAGCGTTTAAAAATCTTTAAATTCGTTTAAGTTAGGGTTAGCGTTTATAATAGGGCTAAGTTTGGAGAGGTAATAGTAAAATCACTTGAGGAATTTTTTTCTTATGCAAGATTTTGAGAAATAAGCGATTTTTGAAAAGCGTGTAACGTTACATTAAAACGAAACTCGCTATTGGATGATCAACACGTGAAAGTGAAAATTTGACGGCGATCCTGGGGTAGTTCTTCGTTTTCACCATGGCTAGGTTTTAGTAAATATTATATGCTGTAATTCCGTAATGCATCCCATTAAGCAATTCTTGAATGTGTGCCAGATTTATGGCGCAGCAAAACTTTGTTAAAGCTCGTTTATTAACCATAGCTATCGCGACAAAATTGTTCCGGCAGATCCTCGATATTGATTACAGTATTTAAAATAACAGTCTAAATAAAGTGTAACATGAAAAAAGGTCAAGAAACAAAAATCGCTCATAACTCAAAATTTCGCCTATGCAACTGCCTTCTGCATACTAATAAAAAGTTTTCTTTGCAAAAATTTGATTTAAAAATAACCCTCTAAACCCAACTCACTACCAATATTCTAAACCTAATTAAAAGCGAAATTTTTTTTCTTAGAGAAATTTTTTTAATGGGATCAAAAAATCTGCGAAATTTTTTAGACTGGCATTGCTAGTCATTGACTAACGGCCGTGGATCTGCAAAATTTTTACCCGCATTAAATAATTTATTAATTTCTGGCCGGAATTAATTCTTAAGATTCGAGTATCACGTGACTAGTGATGTGCCATTTATATGATATCCGGATTTTTTTAGCGTACAGTACGTACAGTACGTACAGTACGTATAGTG